TTTTTTTTCCTCCAGCCTCTTTCTTTGGGGATGGCTACGTGGAGATGGCCCTGGCGGATGCCTCGCGCACGGTGCGCCTCCACCTGCAGCTGTACACCAGCCAGCAGAACGGGCTCCTCTTCCTGGCTGCAGGACAGCCCGACCATCTCCTGGTGGAGCTGCGAGCCGGTGCCCTGCAGGTCAGTGCGACACCACGGATCCAGCCGCATCCGGCGCTTGCTTAAGCTGCAGCGGTTGCCCCAGGTTTGGCCCTGGAACAGATGGGGGAGGACGCCAAGTTCACAAAAGGCAGCCTTGGCTCCTTCCCTGCTCCCTGGTGGTGGAGCGGACCCTCCAGAGCTCATTCAACCCACTTAAATTAGGTTCCTGCTCTGAACTGACCTCTCTCCACTTTTCTTTCCTTTGGTTTCAAAAGGTCGTACAGGCAGGTTGGCTAGGGTCTATGGGTCAACATTTCTTTCGGCACAAGGACGAAGGAGCAGCACCTGAAACCAGCAGCCAGCAGGGTCAAACAAGCCACAAGCGTGGGTAGCTGAGCTGTCAAAATCCCTGGCAGAGCAAGTTAAGAGTTCAAGGGGCATCAGAGGAGACTGGACACAGTCTTGGAAGAGGATCAGTTCAGGGCTATTAGATACACAGAAACAGCCTTGAGCTGGGGAAATTCCTTCCCCACGCACCATTTGTGGGCAGGAAGGAAGTCTCACATGTCTGCCCTGCAGACATCATTGCTGAGGCTTCCCCGGCTCACCATCCTCAGCGATGACGGGTCCGGGCTGCTCTCACGCCCTGATGTCCAGCAGCACCCTGAGGCCGGACCCCGGAGCAAGGCCAGCAGAGGCAGTGCAGCTGGGCTGCTCCCACTTCACGCTGGGGACTGCAGCATGGAGATACCCCAAAACCTGCGCCCTGTGCACTTGGTACAGCCAGTGCCATGCAAGGCACCCTTGAAGCACAAGGGGTCAGTGCTTCGCCAGTGGAGAGAAGGCATGAACCTAGGAGAGCACCCATAGAAGTAAAAGAGGCCTCCCTGGCAAACTCTCGCCAAAACCAAGCCCAGCCAGGGCACGAGAAAAGAGCAGGACAGAAGAAAAAAATTCCCTCTTGTGCTTATGGCGTTGGCACCCGCCACGAAACAGAAGAGCAGGACGCATGCTAGCGCACAGCCCCTCCTCTCCCACGGCGTAGGGGCTACCCAGGCAGGGCCACACACCACATCTAAGCAGAAGCAGAGGATGAGCTAGTGAGCCGGGCAAGCAGCTGGCCAGAGGTTTCTCTGCTGCAGGCCATCTGTCAGGAGAGCTCCCGCCTGGCCTGGCCCAGCCCTTGGGCCCCTTCTGCTAACCCTCTACTTAAGCAGGCTCCAGGGCTGCTCCTCGCGGGGAGAGCATCCCCGCCGAAGATGCAAAACCTGCTATTTCCCTTGCTGGTTCCCAGGCTGACGGTCGGGCGGGCTATGGTTTTGGGAACAGGCCAAGCCACAGGAAAGGAGGGCAGCAGGCAGGGATGGGCAGGAAACAGGAAAAGACGAGTCAGCACCTGGCAGAGCTCCTCGGTGGGAGGAGAGGAAAGGCCTGGCGGCGGGTTGGGAGCCTCGGCGTTGGGAGTGGGAGAAGGAGAACCCCAAGAAGATAGGCTCGAGTTGAGAGTTCACTGAAAAGAGCACGAAAGGAGAGAAATGCAGACAATGGGGGGGAGAGTGGGCACGTCTGCAGGCTGATAGGCAGGTGGGTATAGGAGGAGGAGGAGGAATACGCACAGAGGCAGAGGAAGGCAGGGTACACAGGAGCGAATAGACAGACCGACACACATGCAAGGCCCAGGGGTGGCTCCATGCTTCAGCAGGTATTTCCAACAGGGAAACAGCGGTCTCCTGTGCTGCAGGTAACAGTGTTGTCCCCACGCTACCCTCAGGACTGCACATCTGGAAATGTATGCAGTTAGAGGAACTGTCCCTGGACCTTTGAGATGTCTCAGCATGCTTTCTGCTTTACCCTCCTTTGGGTTTTACTGCCAAGGCTTGTATAAACCCTGGGGATGGGGACCAGCTTCCTCTCATGTCCTGGGACAGGTCTAGGAAAGAGGGGAGCTCATGATCCCAGTTTTGCACTCACCCTTTTCTGGCTGTGGCTGCCCCGACCGTTTCAAGGCCGGGCCCTCAGAGGTGGGGCCAACCTGCTGGGGCACCAGAAGAGACAAGTGAGAGTGGCCCTGATCTCCCAGTCCTACAGAGCTGGGGTCAGCACAGACCAGGGTGGAGAAAAAGAACCTCATAGCCACCTTTCAGGCTGCTTTAGAGCCAGGCTTAGAGCTGCACTGCTGTTCCGCAGTCTCAGGAGCCTGTCCTGCAAACAAAGGGATTTTCAAGACATAAACAACCCACAAACATCAACAACCTGCTCCTTTGTTTTTCACAGCTACTGTCTCACTTGAGCTGAGGTCCTGACTCCATTTTTGCTTTCTTTCCCCTGCAGGCCAGGCTGCACCTGGGCTCGGAGGAGGTGACGCTACAGTCCCCAGCAGAGCTGCGGCTCAACAACTTGGCAAACCACGACGTGGACCTGTTGGTGGAAGATGGCAGGATGACGCTGACCATCGACAGCCTTTTTAACAGCTCTGTGGACATCACAGGACCCGTACGGGAGCTGGACATTCAGTATGGCCTCTACGCAGGTGGGACAGGGAGCCTCGACCTGCCATATCTTTCTGGGTCCAGCTCTCCCTTCAGAGGTTGCCTCCACTTGGTGACGTTCAATGGTCTGGACGTCCTCTCCCCTCCGGCTTCTGACGGCAGCACCAAGACATTCCACCGGGTTCAGGAGGGATGCAGCACGCAGTTCTCTGCCGAGCCCGATGACCCCTTTGGGTTCCTAGGACCGCACTCTTACGTCGCGTTTCCCACGTGGAACGCGAAGGAAGAAGGGACCATTGAGTTTGTGATAACCACAAGCATCACCCAGGCACCCCTCATCTACCACGCGGGGATGGAGAACGACTTCTTCTACCTGGAAATCTCCAACGGGCGCCTGAGAGGGTTTGTTGAGAAGGGGAACGGCATCATCATCCTGCACAACAACATCTTCATCAGCGACGAGCAGCAGCACTACGTTAAAGTCCACACAGACGTCCACAAGCTTGAGATCCTGATTGACTACTATGCTTCAGCCACGTCCAACCGGGGCATCAACAACCATCTGGACCTTCAGGGGAACCTCTTCATTGGAGGTATGAATGAAAAGGCTTTGCAAAGGCTGAGGGAGCACCATCTTGCCTTCATGTCGGTGGGCAGCACAACAAACAACTCCTTTGTTGGCTGCTTGGAGGACCTGCGGATAAACCTGCAGAGGAAGAGTCTGCAAGATGCTGTGGTCACAAAGGACATCACACCTGGCTGTGGAAAGCAGGAGCAGTACTGGGAATATGATGAAGCATATGAACAGGATGAGGCACCCACCTCCCCCCCTCCTGACATCTGGCAGGGAGCACCCGGCCTGCTGGTGGAACCGTGCCGGCCAGACAACAGCTTCCCTCCTGCCTTCGCTAACGTCAGCAAACTGCTGCATGTCAGCCCCCTCATTGTCTCTGAAGGGGGCACAGCCTTCTTGGAGTGGAAACACGCCCAGCCAACAATAGACCTGAACCTGGCAAACATCCGGCAGTCCCAAATCCTCTTTAGCATCACCAGTGATCCCAGGCATGGTCAGCTAGAACTGGATGCCCCTGGATCCAGGAGCAGAAGGAAGTTTACTTTGTTGGACATTGTGAATCGGAAAGTCAGATATGTCCACGATGGCTCCGAAGGACCCATGGACCAGCTGATGCTAGAGGTAACTGTGACTGCCCAGCAAGGGATCCCTGAGTGTCTGCGGCAGGGACAGATGTACCTGCTGCCCATAATGATCAACCCCATCAACGATGCCCCTCAGGTGATATTTCCTCATGGGGATCACATGACGATCCTGAAGCACACACGGAAGCATCTGACCACAGACGTCCTGCAGGCACTGGACGATGACACATCCTGTGATGACCTTGAATTTCAGCTGCATGGCAGCCGACTGATGGAGGAGGGCTACGTGGAGTACGACTTTCACCCTGGAGTGCCCATTGAAGAGTTTTCCTGCAGGGACTTGGAAGCAGGCAACATAGTCTACGTGCACCACAGCGGGACAAATTTGCAGCTCACCTTCCAAGTGAGCGACGGGTCTGTCCCAAGCCCCACTGCCACCCTGAGGATCCTCGCCATAGAGCCTGACATCCGCGTGCACAACAACACTGGCCTCTTCATCTCCCAGGGAGGGGCTGCACGCATTACCACAGCCAATCTATCAGTGGAGACAAACGCCGTGAAACAACGGGTCGCCATCCTGTATGGCCTCACAGAGCCTCTCAGGTATGGTGAGGTCCAGAAACAAGGGAGCATGGGAGGGGAATGGAAAAAAGTCGAGTCCTTCCATCAGCAAGACCTGGAGCAAGGACGCATCCAATATTTCAGCACAGATCCAGAGCATCAGCTGGAAGATGTCGTAGAGAAGCTGAGATTCAAAGTCCAGGTTGGACAGAAGATCTTGCAAAACAACACTTTCCTCATCAGGATCAAAAGAGCTACCATCAAGATGAGAACCATGGTCCCTCTCCAGATGAAGAACAAGCGGCACAAAAATATCACTAGTAAGGAACTGGAGGCAATGCAGGAAGATCCAAACTCTGCCCCAGTCTCTTTCCACTACGTGATAATCCAGGCTCCCAAAAAGGGAAACTTGGAGCTGCTTGGCAACAGGCTGACTGAAGGCTTTGGATTTACCCAAGACGATCTGCAAAGAAACCATTTAAGCTACAGCGCAACCATCAGGAACTCTAAGCAAGCTGAGGACACCTTCCAGTTTCGCGTCCGTGCTGGGGACCAGCACTCTCCTGTGTACACCTACACAATCAGCATAGGTGGGGACCCCGATGCGCCGGCCCTGACCAATGTCCTCCTGACCGTGCCAGAAGGGGGACAGGCCATCATCTCCAGGGACCACTTGTTTGTACAGAGCCTGAACAGCATGGACTATCTCTATGAAGTAATTGAAGGGCCAGCGCACGGGAGGCTGGCCTGGGCCGTGTCCCCAAGCTGGTCCTCCAGTGAGGAGATCACAGAGTTCACCAACGAGGACATCCTCCGGGGCAGGCTGCTGTACCAGCATGACGACTCCGAGACCCTGGAGGACGATATCCCCTTTGTAGCCATCAAGCAGAGCGAGGGCAGCACTGAGCCTGACGCAGAGGAGGTGAGAGGTGTTTTCAGAGTTTCCATCCAACCCGTCAATGACCACCCCCCTGTCCAGGTGGTGAGCAGGGTTTTCAACGTGGTGCGCAACGGAGAGCACCTCCTGACGACGGACGACATCGCCTTCACTGATAAGGACTCCGGCTTCTCAGACACGCAGTTGGTGCTGGCGAGGAAGGACATTCTGTTTGGCAGCATCGTATCCGTTGATGACAGAAGTCACCAGGTCTATCGATTCACACAGGACGATCTGAGGAAGAAAAAGATCCTATTCGTCCATTCAGGGGCTGACCGGGGCTGGATTCAGCTACAGGTCTCAGACGGCCTCCACCAAACTACAGCCCTCCTGGAAGTTCAGGCTTCGGACCCCTATATCAAAATAGTCAACAACACTGGCCTAGCCATCCACCAAGGGAGCCGAGGGAGCATTGACTCCTCTGTCCTCAGCCTGGAGACCAACATGGACATCAGGTCGGATGAAGAGATACGGTTCCTGGTAACTACCCCGCCACGGTGGGGGACTGTGCTGAGAGGGGAGCAGCCAGTCATGGCTTTCTCCCAGAGGGATCTGCTAGCAGGAGAGATCACCTACCAGCACAACAGGAGCAGGAACACGCGGGATGAGTTCCAGTTCACTGTGGAAGCGAACAAGGTGGCGGTGGAGGACACACTGGCTGTCACCGTGTTTTTGGACACCCATCCCAGCCCCCTGCGCATTGTGAACCTCAAGGAGATACATGTCTTCCAAGGGGAAGCAGCTGAGATCAAGGAAGAGTACTTATTGGTGAGTATCTCCCTCTCTAGTCATTCCCCAAGTCTGAAAATCCTTCCCCATTACACAGCAAGGGAAAGCCGCATCCTGCTCGTAGACCCTGGGAAACCTTCCTCAAACACTAAAACAGAAAAAGTTCAAAGAGGCATGAACATGAGACAAGTTCAAAGAGGTGGAGAATCGTTCCTGCCAATGGGCTGGAAACCCATCAATGCAAGCAGGTCGCCCAGAAGAGAGCACTGCCTTGCACAAGACACCTTGAAAAGATTGGAGAGAATGTCCCGAAGCAGGCATTCCCAAACTCAATCCACACTCGCTACTGGGGGACATGTCTTTGACACAGCCTATGTCCCCCCCCACCCTCATGGTACCTGTTTGGATCTCTTCTGTGTGCAAGAGGGACAAGACTGGCAGAAGTAGCTCTGTAGCTCATCCTTATCCCATCTTTATAGGGCTATTTATTAAGGTGGAGCTATGACTTGAACAGCGGATGTCCCTGCACATAGCAGTCCGTGCATGGGTGCTGAGCAAAAGCAGGCTGAAGGCACTGCAGATACCCCATGGCTGTGCTCCCCTGAGGCTGCTCGGTGTTTCTACTATCACTGGAGTAAATCCAGGGTGAGCCTGGGCTAATTTTGCTCTAGGAACAGCCAGAGCAGCTGAGCAGAAGCTATTTCAGCTCCCCAGGGACCCACGAGTCCGTTATGAGGTATATGTCCCAGTGTTTGTGGCAGACAAGGAGGGCTTTCGTGTACAGCTGCTGCAGGAGAGGTCTGAATGGCATATTTATGGCCACTTCCACAGCTGGGAAGGCGCCCAGGCCCCTTGCTCACCCCGTGTCTCCTCGCACGCACAGGTTACCCATGAAGAGATCCCTGCCCAGGACATCATCTACCTGGTGAGCACCCCGCCAGTCTCAGGCTTTCTGGTGATGGTTCAGCACGGCCAAGACTCGAACGAGCCGTCCAGCTTGGATCCCATCCAGTCCTTCACCCAGGAGGACATCAACAGCGGCAAAGTCCTCTACCTGCACTCCAAGCCAGAGGGGCAGCGCGACCGGTTTGTCGTGGACGTCACGGCCAGGGGGGCGGACCCACTGGAGGGGGTTGCGGTGAGCCTGGCCGTGCTCCCCGTCACAGTTCCCCTGGACGTCCGCAACCTCACGGTGCCGGGGGGCAGCTCCGCCACGCTCTCCACCGACATCCTCAACGTCCCCAGCGCCTACTTTGCGGCCCTCGGCGTGGAGTTCAGGGTGCTGGAGCCCCCCAGGTTCGGCACCCTGCAGAACCGCGAGCGGCCCCAGGAGCGTGGGCTGCACGCCTTCACCTGGAGCGAGGTACGGCGGGGGGGGGGGGGGCCGCGGGGGCGCACCACCGGGGGGGG